TTGTCCGGTTTTAGGACTTGCACTCATTTTGTAGTAGCTCTGTACTAGTGACTTCTAGGTTCTGGGAGGGATCTTTATGCTTATATATGTTTTGATTTGATTCTGCCTATTTATATTGTTATTTACCTACTCTTGTTTAGTTTCTACCCTCAGACCCATTACTTGTTGTTCCGGGTTACGGGTTGGCTTACCTGCTGGTGGGTTATAGTAAGTGCCATCATGACTTGAGAAATCGGGTCGTGACAGGCTGTTACCAGTGGTAGCGTATGCAGGAGAAGTTCCTTGAGCCTTCCTTTGGGACTTAAAGTCATGTGGATAACCTACAATCTTGTAGCAGAACTCTTTGTTGTGACCCTTACACTTGCAGAAATCACATATTAAATGTGAGTTTCTCTTAATTTTATGACTTACTCCTAAACTACTACTTGCTTTAGAATACAGGGTAACTGATGATTCCAATGCAGCAGTGATACCATTAACACCAGTAGCTACCATTCCCATACCATTAACACCAGTAACTACAACCTTTTGACTCTCATCCCCAATTATCATAGCATAAGCATAGCTAATTAATGGTAGTGGATCCAACATTAGGATTTGGCTCCTTGCTTGATGATAAGATTTATTTAAGCCCATCAAAATTGATACAGCTTGTGCCTGTTCATATGAGCAACAAAACCTTTGGATATTTCATAATTACAACAAGAAGCTGGCACCAATATGTCAAACTCATCCCACAAACTTTTCAGCCTTGTATAATACGTAGAAACAGAAGCAGTACCCTGCTGTAATGAGGAAATATCTTTGTGCAAACTATAGGTTCTAGAGCCATCTACTCTATCAAACCTTTTCTTTAAATCTGTCCAAACATTGAAAGCACTAGAAGCAAAAACAATTCCACTTGGTAAACTTTTGGATACATAATTCATTAACCAAGACAGTACTATAATATTTACTCTTTTCCATTGCCCCCACAGTTCCTCACCAAATATCTCCTTCCTAGCAGTACCATCGATTAAACCTATCTTATTTCTCCCTAGTAGAGCTAGCTTAATAGATCGACTCCACATAGTGTAATTCTCAATACCAAGCAACTGAAATGAGATAATACTCAGACCACTAACATCAATAGGATTGAGCAACAAATGATGGTTGATCTTAGGCATATTTATATGCCTAAGTTGTCAATAATTGCCCATAAAGTGCTTAAGTTGAGGAATAATCTTGAGTCTATTAGCTTGATTTTTGGTATAACTTGTGATAATTGTGCACTAACACACATGATTAGTTGTTTCAAGAGCACTCGAAGGAATTGGAGTTGGAATGAAGAAAGAAGGAGCAAAGAAAATGGCCAAGGCAAAAACCACCAGTGGTTGGCGCACTGGTTGGTGCGGCGCGCCACTGGTGGTACTTTAGAGTACCTTCTCAGGAGCGCTGAGAGGCGCGACACGTCCATCTTTTGCCGACTTTGCCAAGTTTTAAACATTAAGTAGGATTCCTAATTTGAGTAGTATTTGTTCCCAACTTTTCCTACTATTATAAATAGATCCTTAGGGCTCCATAATCGTGTTCAACTTTTGATTTAGTGTGCAAGAGCAAGAATTCAAGTTTGTAATAGGTTTAATCCTTTAACTCTTCTATTTTTTCGGAATTTGCATGAACTATTGTAATTTCTTGTTTTCTAATAGCATGAGTGGCTAAACGCCCTAGCTCTGGGGCTATAGCTACAAATTGATTGTTGACTATTTAAGGTTGTTTGAATTAATTTTTGATTGTCATTATAAGTTACTTCTATATTCTTGTTTTAGTATTTTATGCTTGCGCACCATAAGATAAATTTAGTGTCTAAATCTTAAAATCGAGAGAGGAGAGATTAGATAGACCAAAGAATATAGAGAGCTCAGTCCACCCATTAGATTGAGGTGATTAGTGTTCAGGAGTGACGCCCAGACGAACACCTTACTTGGTTATGAAATAAGATGAAATCTTAATGCTCGCCAGTTAGTCTATTTATCCCCACTCAACGATGTAGTTAGATAGCTAACTGGGGTAGGCAACGAGAGGTGTATAACCCGGATCATACTATTAACCTTATAAACCAGTAACTTGACAACTAAAATTGATTCTAAGCTAATAATATGATACAGGATATTCAGTATATGTTGCAGCCCTCAAATTGCTTTTAACTTGCTTGAAACATTATATCAAAGTTGTTCACAATTAGTTACGTTTAATTAGTGCATAATTATTAGTAGATAAACAATAAATCATCAACTCTTAAAAAGGTACTTTTTACTTTTAAGTGAGTGAATATAAGTTGATCATAAGTCCCTTAGGAACGATAACTCGTTTCTTTAAGAATCTATTGTACTTGCGCGACCACGTACACTTGCGTGTATATTGGGGAGCCAATGGTTATAATCGATACCTTGACCCTGCCCATAGTTGACTTGTGAGGGAACAGATGTACCTGAACTGTTTTGCACCAGATCTACATTTTCACCATCAATCGCCATCTGAGATCTGAAAATTGATGCTTGATCCTACAGTAATCCAACAGTAATTCAACAAACAGTATGAAGACACACAAATTTGAGCTTGAATTGAGCTTGAAACAAGCACTGATTTGTTAAATAATCCTCCAGAAATCACACTTTTAAGAGTATGAAATTTCTGCAACAAAACACTTGTGAATCTGTGAATCAACAACTTGATTCTTTGATCCTATGGATTCTCCAGCTTCATCAGTGTTTACTGGGAAGCAGTAGCTCTGATACCATGTTCGTAAAAGAGAAAACTTAACTGTAAGCTAAGAGAGAATGAGTGAGAGATTTTTCATTGAAAAACTAACTGTCCATATACAATGTATGAGCTATATATATAGCTCTTTGATCATCTTTAACCGACTAATAACAATTAAGCTAACTAACAAAAGGATAAGTTGTTATAACTAACTTGTAGTAAAAGACTATTTTGCCCCTTTTTATTCTTTCTAACTTCCACGCTTCTCTATATCACAACAGTAACTTTTGAGGCTTTTCATAAATATCAATTTTCAATCTTTGCCACTAGGTAACTCAAGTTGAAGATCAAACAATAGTAATATAATTAATATTATGGCGCACTATATTAGACAATTTGAGATATGAAAGGGCAAATCCCATTAATTATTATATCATAGAGAAAAAAATATATATTTGTACTAAACTAATTAATTAATTATTAGGTCAATTGAGCATGTCTTCGCCATGTCCACTCTCATATCTGTCTTTAATTATCTTTAAAATGTTTGAATATTCTTGACAACCTTAGCTCCCTATTGTTCCATAAACCACCAACCAAATTATGATACTACAATTAATAGAAATATTTAATATTTTCAATTTTTCATTTCTTTAGAAAAACTTATCTCCATCATTTATACATCTAATACTTTAACAATATATGAATATATACCCTCAATATATATAGAAAAAAAGTAAGGTTATTAACAAGAAAGCTATAGAAATAAGATAATGACGCGATCATATCAAATTAGTTATCACATAAATTAAAACAGATTTTTTCATCTCTACCTAATGATAAATTTAACAAAATAATACAATTTTTTTTACTAACAATTAAAACGAATATTATATTCGAAAATTAACAATAGAATATAAAAACAAACACCAATTCAAACAACTTTGTTAGCTGCCTATATATATTATAAAGAAATTAACTTATAATTAGGTAAGTCTATGTCAACATTTGAACAGTGAGACAATAATGAAGATTCGAATGTTTCGTATATTATATGAGAAAAATTATAATAGCAAATTGTATGCCTTCATATTATAAATTTGAAGAAGTTGAAATAATTTAGAGAGAGCCAAAATAAAATAAAATGGGTTGTTTAGCAATTGTGAATCTCATGTCAAGAGTTGTTTCATTTGTTTGTTTAGCAACTTGTGTCACAATTCTTACAACTTCCTCTTCTAATATGTCTGTTGCTTCAATATTTCATGGTGAAGTTGAAGTCAAGTATCATTTTACTGATTTCTATGCTTATCGGTAAGTGTTTCATCTTTTAACTTTAGGCGAGTCTCGGAGTAACAATAAAGTTGTCTCTCTGTTATCTATATGTCATAGATCGATCATTAGTTTGAGTCGTAAAATTAGTCAGTCATAATTGTCATTTTTGTAATTGAATCTCATTTATAGGGTAGTGTTAGAGCTACGTACGGTAAAGTTATTTTCATGTCATTGGTTTACATCGAATCGTAAAATCAACTATTGATGTTTGTGTCAAGATAGCTAGCTAGGTTGCTTACATCCCTACCTGATCTTGGGGTGTGATCGTTTTCCAATCATGCGTGAATATAGATCGATGTGGTGGCGGATACGAAATTACCATTAACGGTGTTGAAAAAATGAAGAAGTAATTATACAAAAAGTCAACGGGGATTTATCATCAATAAAATATATATAAAGATATATTAATTCTAATCTTAAATATACAGTGTAATCTTTGCCAAAAGGGAGTCGGCTCCACCTCTAACCAGATGCTTTATGCACAAGAGTGCCTTCCTATAATTGCATATTTCGTTTTAGGAGAGACATAAAACAACGATAAAATTATGATCTCACTGTGACCTATAAGTCATAGATTTAAGCCGTGAAATCAACCATTAATACTTGCTTAGCTCTAGCCTATTGTTCGGTTGACTTGCAAGAACTAGTAATCCTTTATAACAAGTCTGACATGATAATTCGAAAATTTATTAAACTAGTGATATAAAAAATATTTATATTTTAGTATATATCATTTAAATCTTTGGAATATTTTTTTTTAATTTTATATTTGATGCTATAAAATGATGATTTGACAGTTACATGCTTGCTTGTTCTGGTACTGGATTTTTATATTCCCTTATACAAACTGCAATTGCAATAATCCAAGCCAAGACTGGAGATTGTATAAGTGATAAACTCACTCACTTTGATGTATATGCTGACAAGGTACATTCTCATTTCCCTCATAATTAATTTAATACTCTCTCAATTTCAATTTTATAGGATGTAGTTTAATCTGGGATTGAATTTTTGAAATAGAAATTAAGATTTTTGAAGTTCATGACGTTGAATATGCTATAATGTTTGTGTGGATAAAAGAACACTTCTGAAACTTATGATCTTAAACGTGACATACATACTCTATTTCTTTGATTTTGTTTGACAATTTCATTGGTAGTTTGGTCAAAAAAGAATTGTAATTTTTTATATTTTTCTTAAAGAAAAGCTTTTATATATAGTCATACCACTAATTTATTTATTTTTAGGAATTAGTGGCGAACAAATTCCGTAGTTATATAGAATAATTTGTCGATAATTCAATTTAGTGATGAATTATTAAATAATAATGTTAGCTATAACCAATTTAACAATGAATTAGAGTCACACAAATAATATGACATGATCAAGATTATAAATTTTATAAACCTTAAATTTTGTGTCGAAACAAATTAAACAAAGGGAGTAACATTTTTGTGACTATAATTTTTTTTGTTATTATAGGTTAAATAGGAAGTTCAAAGTTATATATTAGTGTTAATTTTAAGATTAAAAAAGGTGATCATTCCTTTTGAACTAATAAGGAAATGACACTGTAACCTTAACCAAGAGGTCTCGGGTTCGAGCCCCTTTGGGAACGGAGTCACCTTTGTTAGGGAGCGTTTTACCCCCAATGTGGGACTTTCCGGCGCGAATTTGAATTTAGTCGGGCTCCAATGTGGATACCGAACACCGGATGGGAAACCAAAATAAAAATAAAAATGACACTGTGGAACAAAGGACTACGAATATAGAACAATCTAGACTCTCTGAATTTCATGAAATCAGTCATTAATGTTTGTGTTTTGCAAATTTAAAGTGTATGGTTTATTGTTTAACTACAACAATTGATATCTCCAGCTGATCAGTGGCGTAATCACATGTAGTGAAGAATGTCCAGTTCTTTTTATCGAAAAATTATATATTATTTATATAGAAAATTATTCTAAGTATCTAGGTAAAAAATTATGTATGATCATACGTATATATTAAATCTTGAACATACTTAACAAATTTTTTGACTTAGCCATTGAAGTTGATATAAAATAATAAATAAGCGGATTCATTATTAAATATTTAGTAGATATTTAGTGGATTTTTTCATTAGAAAATATATAGTTTACGCAAGAATTACTGAATTTATGTAAGCGCAATGCTAACCGGCCCTTCCCCAAATCGTGCGTAAACACATAATTTTCATGCACTGAAATGTCCTTTTATATTGTTATCTTAATTAAGTGTGTTTAATTAGCTAGTCAATTAATTATTGTATTATTTTAACATGATGATTATAATTAATTAAACAGATAATGTCGATGATAGTGGGTACGGGTGCAGCAGCAGGATTTGGATTAACGGTGGATTTGAATAGATTGCCAAATCATGCTATGGTGACCGTTGATTTTCTTAACAAAGAAAATGTAGCTGCTAGTTTTTGTCTCGCTGGATTTGTATGCAATATGATTTCATCTTTTATTTCATTTAAATTGTTTAAGGATGATTACATGTATGATTGCTAATTCTTTGTCTAATTCTTTTGTAAAACATATTGAATTGGAAGAGTAATATATATATATCTTATATTTCTTTTAAAGTTTTACTATATATACATAGTATATGTTTACGCGAGTGAACTATTGGTTCTTTGGAGACCTAAGTAATTTAGATTCGTAGCGTTTAAGATCGATCAATATGGAAGTTTTCTATTTCTGTTACGTTGGAGGGATATATGCTATTTATTATATTACAATTTACAACCCTTGGTATATCATAGTAAAATTCATGCTTAAATAATGCACATGAAACTAAATATGACAATAAAGGTGTGTTTGGTAGGAAGAAAAATGTGTTTTTCGTGATAAAATATTTCTTTGGAAAATAAGTAAAATCATTTACTTGTTTTTTATGAGTAAACAAGAAAATATAGTTACAAGAACATTTATGTATATAGAATATAGGCAAACACTATGAGAATAAGATGGTGAAAGGTCGTACGACTGAAGAGTTAGGGGTCGAGCTAGGTGGTGGGAATGGTTTGTGGGGTCGAGTGTCTCGGGTAAAAAGGGAGTGGAGAGGGACGGGATGGGATGGGGTTAAGATAATTCACATAAAATATCACTTATCAAAAAAAAAATTATGATGCACCAATCACCACTAGAGTTGTCAAAAAAGGTCATCCCAGTCCAAGCCTCGCGGACAAGAAATTTGATGGGCTAGGGCGGGTGGCCCTTCATTTGGAAGGGCCTGAAAATGATCAAGCCAACCCAACCCTAGAAGGTCGCGGGCTGGGGCGGGCTAGCCTTTTTTTTCTTCTCAAACTTAAAATTTTATAACGTCAAGAAAATGAGAAGATTTACAAATCAAATATGGAAAATAATGGTGTTGTTTCAATAACACTAGCAAAAAACTAGTGGGATTAGCATGTATCTAGGATACTCGATACAAGAAATACATTTATTTGGTGTGATGCATCCAGATACGTGAGCAAGATAGGAGAGAGACGAGGGCGCGATATTTGTCTATGTATCCTAGATACATGTGAATCCACTTGGATAGAGAGTATCTAAAATATATTACACATAATTTTGAGTCTATGTATCCCGAGATACATGTATGTGGACACATCAAAATCTGAAAAGAATCACAATATTACAGCATAGCGTGCATCTAAGTAACTAACTCATACACTATGAGATTTCTTTAAGATACTCTTTAATCAATAGTTTTGGCTCATGGACGGATTTTGGCCCGGCCCCGATCAAGCCTCAAGGGCCAAGGGACTATATGGGTCGGACTTATAAGTCCTACTTTTAAATGGGTTTGAAAAATCCTATCATATCCCTACCCTACCTCAATAATGATTGAATTGGGCCGTCCTCATGGACTAAGCCTATTTTAACAGCTCTAATCACCGCAATCAACCACTTATATAATTAACATCTTTATCAACTAGCATGATCAATTGATCGTCATCATCAGCTCAATGGGGAAAATTGGAGTCTTTCCTATCCACGTATTTCTTTTCCACTATGATTTTGATCAATCAGAAAAATAAAGTTTTCAATATTAATCAATAATTCACTAATCATAATGTTTATCAAGTGACAAGTTATTAGCGTTGATATTTTCACTAAACCAATAAATATTATATTTAGACGTGTCTTTTATGTGTTCATTTAATGATCCAACTAATTCGGATATGTGTCGAAAATTTCACTTTTGGGGTAATTAAGCGTTTTCTACTAAGGTAACTTCCTACCAAAATCTCGAATTCGAGATCTCTTTTAAGGATAAATGAGTATTTGATACTCTAATTTTTTTAGCAAAAAATACTCGATATTCGTGGCCAGCTTCACTTATTGGCAAAGGTCAATGAAATACCAGCTAATAATACTTAGAAGAAATCTACCTTTATTAGTAGCTTAAACATGTTCTTTAATCTCATCAGAATATTAATTAATTGACCTTAGAATGATGTACTGTTAATTCCATGAAAAATAAATACAACTTGCTAGATCCATCAAATAATTAAGCAATTGCAATAATATGGGGGCACACTAAGTACTTGGGGAATACAATTTTTGTTTTTTTAATTACCATATTAGGTTCCTTCAAATATTTCAGTACTAGTGGTATAGAGGCAGAGCTAAACCCATGATTTGAAGATTTCGGATACATCAATATTATCTTAGTTCAAATATGAGCTCTAAGATAAACTTTAAAAATAAAAAAAAATGGCAATTTTCTTCCATTCTAGCTAGCTCCTATAAATACATGAATTATCGAAAAATAATTTTTGCATAAAAAATGATAAAAATGACTTTTCAAACATAAATCAATTTCTTTCACAATTATTTCAATTACTCTTAGACATCATTAATCAACTTTTAATACTCAAAATTTTCATCAAAACATTATATAGGTTGCTAATATTATAATCAACATCCTCTTGTACTATTCACACCTCAACCTCACCCTAAATATTTAAGATAATGTTTTTACATTAAAAATAAAATATATAAAAATGGCATGTTGGCAAGTTGGTCCAAATTGCGTGATGTTAATTAATTCTTCTAAGTCAACTTCTTATTTTCCAAGTCAATACTAATTGAGTAATCGACGGAATCGCAATTGTTGATTTTCAATTAATATAAGAGAAAATGACACAATATACAAGAAAAAAAGTACTTATCAAGTGTGTTCACTAGGAAATCTCCATTCCTAGACTATGGTGAAGGAAAGTAATTGTTACCTAGAACGTGTTCGGTGAAGTACAATATTTTTCATGAAAATTATTTTTTTCGAAAAATAAACGAGTTTCTCTTACTCATTTTTTAAAAATTTGGTGCGTTAATAAAAAAAATATTGTTTTAAAAATATTTGTATATAATTCAAAAAAATAAACGAAAATATTAATTTGGTTATTTTTGTTTATACATTTCCCCTTCATTTTTTTTGAAAGTCCAATTTCGTTTTAATAATTATATTGTCGAAATCAGCTTGGGTGTAGCTCGATTAATTTTACGAAATAACATGCTACTTTCTTTGATGGAGGCATGCAAACACGCTTTCAATTGAGAATAGTACAAAGAAGAGCTAAAAGAAGGAAAACAACACTTCCATTTAATAGCTTCATTTCTTTTTCGTAAGCAAAATATATTGTACATCGTTATCTATTACTTCTCACGAGCAATAATATTTTATAAAACCTACGCGTCATTTCGGGTAAATCAAAAGCAAGGAATACATAACTACCAAAATATTCAAAATAAATTCTTTGCAACCAGTATGAATTTTGATGGGATGAAAATTTCTTTATATATATTATCAGATGTCTTCGGAGCCCTAACCCCCTAAAATGAGTCCTCGTTATGAAAAATTGAGTCTAATTGAAACCCAACACGAATATTAGACATTATTTTTTTTATTTTAAAAAAAAAAGTAAACTCTTGCATGTGAACCGAATATTACTCTTATCAATTACACAATGGATTTGAGTTGTACACATTGACTTTTGACTAAGACAAAGTCAACGTTTTTTTTTTTTTTGGCATGCATGCATTATCCTTTTTCTATATAAGCAATCACATTACTAAGTATATTCACTACAAGAAGAAAAACCTTTAATTAGCATCAATAAATTTCAATTACTTTTTTTTAATAATAATTAATTAGTATAATATAGTTTGCAAATGGCACAACCACCATTACCACCACCAACCTGTACAATTCCACCATTTGTTGGCCTCATCGTGAGGATTCTTACGTTCATTTGCTTGTTGATTTCACTCATCATAATTGCAACCAACACTGAAAAATCTATTGATGAGGATGGTAACGAAGACAAAACCAAGTTCAATGACTTTTACGCTTACAGGTAATATTCATTTCTAATCACTACAAAAAAAACACGAATTTCTTATGATATTTTATCGGAAATTTATTCAATATATACATTATATATGATTAATTTTTACTGAAAATATATGCAGATATTTAATTTCTACTGTGATTATTGGAATGGCATATACTCTTCTACAAAGTGCATTCTCAATTTTCTTTGTGACTACTGGAAATCGTTTTGGTGGTGAGGGATTTTGTCTATTTGACTTTTATGGTGATAAGGTAAATTAATTTAATTTTCCTTAATTATATTATCCTCCTTTACTTTTTCCTATATCTATATATTGAAAAAGTAGAAAGAAAATATATTGGAACAAAAAGCAAAGAATAAACAAGAGAACACACTATTAGAAATTTCATCGCGAATCAATGAAAAATTTGTGCCATAGATCATGATTTTCTGACTCATTATTTATCGAATCAAATACATGGTGGAAAATATATTCTTACTGAAGTAACGGGAAACATTCTAATTTTTTCACATGAGAACATTACTATTTTTTATTTTTTTTCCTACTAGTTCAATCTAAATATCCGTGGAAATTGTCATTTTCCTTGGGAAATTTCAGTGGAAAATAGTGACAAATACTAAAAATAAAGTGACTCACAAAATGAGTAGTTAATTAATTGCAAATCTAGAATTTAAATTTTACATATTATAACTTGAAATTTTGCTACATTCCATTTTATTAAACTCTATTATATATATAATAATGTCTTCTTAACATGAGATTTTTACCCAACACAACAGCCCAATAAAACAAAAACAAAATCAAAATCAGAATCTCAATATTTATTTTAAAAAAATATTTTTTGTCAGTATAGTATTGATTATACACTTGTTATATGTACTACTACAATTTATTAATCTCTCTACTAATTATGGTACGTGTAAATATTTTGTAGCTTAACATGTAAATTGTAATAGTAGTAATTATTAAGTTATAGTACTATTTTTTTTTATCAAGTACGTACTTACAAATTATTCGATAAATATATTTTACATCGTCAGTACATATACGACACGAATAAATAATAATTTATCTATGTTGTGCAGTTTATTTCCTACTTCCTTGTTACTGGAGCAGCAGCAAGTTTTGGTATGACACAAGAATTT